GTTGGATCCACTCCATATATATGTATATATATATATATTCCGTTACCTCAACAGGCTCAATTTACCGTTGTGGTAGGACTGATGTCCACGAAAAATATTTCATATCGGCTAGCCAAAGAAGACGTTCAGTAAAAAAACAAATCTTTGGTGAAAGTCAACAGTTCTAACTCCCATATCTGTCCGACAGTATTGTATTTCAGTCGCTGAGACATGTACGTTTTTTAATACCACCCATAGATAAAAACGCAATATCTGCTGGTGCCGATGTGTTTGATACTTCGAAATGAATCAAGCGAAATTTGCGGAGTGCCCGGTTAAAATAGCATGATGATGCTGGCGAGCGACAGAACTTTGGCGAACAGACTGTGCAAAGAGACTCATTGTTCTTTAGATCAACTAGTCCTTTACTGTGTCAAATACCATAAAAGGCTTCCCGTTTTGGGCTTGCGCAGTTCTTACTATGTTTCATGAAGTTTGACTCCGACTTTCGCGTCCCCAGCAGACATGGACGCTGATCTAAAACCTATTAGTATACTTCCATTTATAACTCATAGCATTGCTTGGGTCGCAGTGGCTACTACGGATTTTCCATATGAACCTATACTGTCTGCCTATTTTACATACTCCTCTGGCGTCTCCTTACACGAATGTAACTTGATTTCTCTCTAGAATCAACTGCGTTTTCTCTATGAATTCCTCGCTTATTGCATCAGTGTGGAGGGGCTTGGTGGAGATAGAAACGTCATAGCGAAAGCGCCTGCACCTGCGCTGCCACGTCGGGCTGCGCCCAATGAAGACTACGACTTGCCAAAAGGTCCAGTTCCTTTGACCATTAACCCACCGCAGAATGAAGAATACAGCTTGCCGAAGAAGGGACTGCCCGGTTATCCCTCGTTAGGCGAACCCTCCACTGGTATGCCTTCGCGGCCACTGCCTACTCCATCGACACTGAACCCACCGCAGAATGAAGAATACGGCTTTCCAAAGAGGGAACTACCCAGTGATCAAGGCGAGCCATCTATACCTCAACGACCAATGCTTCCTGGTTCGGCCTCACAAAAGTTCGGCGTTGACGCACAGAATGGACGCTTTGTGTTGCCTGGTCAGCCACGTCCAGGTAAGTCATCGCCAGGCGTGCATCTCGTCATCTATTATGCCCATCTAGGTTGGGCCCAGTCTCGTTGATGTTTGGTCGATATACATGCATCGATAGTTTCTCCCTTCATCCTACTGTTTTCTATCTCCATCCGCGTCGTTGACAGGCAATGCGCCTGTCCTTCAAAGAAGACATGCACAGAATCATTTAGGATGTCAGGTTAGGCGACCATACGTTTTCGTTTTTTCATAATCATAAAGGTATAATAAGGTAAGGTAGGGTAGAGTTAACAAAGATCTAAGCAGCCGATCAGTATTGATTATGGGGTGAGGAGCAGAGGTGTTAAGGGATTAAAGGGTCAGATTCTAGTCATAATAAGCGCCAGAGAGGGGGAGGAGGGGGAA